AAACAGTGCAATGAAAGCTCCCGAAGTTGAAAGCACAGAGGGTAAAATGTACCTATGGTGAGAAGGAAAGAGAGCCACAAGGTGGCAAGCAGGAGGGTAGGAGATTTCCCAGAAGAGGTGACACAAGACCTCAAATATGTAGGAAGAACAGATATGAGCTAGTTGAAGAAAGGGGGAACGGGCATTCCAGGCAAAGAAAACCATAGATGCAAAGGCAGGGGGTGAGAGGAAAGTGATCAAACTAAGACAGGTTTTTCTATGTGACTTATCAATTCCATCTTGTTGCTTTTTAATCTACGTATTAATTTCATATCAAGTGAAGTGATGCAACCCTCTGACATTTTATGAAATTTAGATTAGCCAGTCATAAATGTCAGCTAGCCAATCATTTAATCTCTTAAAGAGAAAGGCTTTCATAATGTGGGCAACCAGTGAAATTAAATACATTCTTGGGTGAAAACAGGATCAGGTGCTAATAAGAAACCAGGTGGGAGGCTGATGAAAATCAGGCTAGTGATGTGAAATGTAATTAATTTGATTTTCTATTCTCTCTCTCTGGGAACTTAAGAAGTTGGAAAGCTTGGCTGTGATTGCTGATGAATCCATGGGCCCCCTTCACTTAAGGGTGAAAGAGACCAAAGGAAGAAGACAGGATGATTTTAAGAAGTTCAGGTGGTGCCAAGGTCCATTTTGAATACCTTTTGAACTAAATTTTTGCAGATCAAGCACATTTTCAAAATTTTTAGCAAGATGCTCCCATCCTACAAACTCAGCTGCATTATGAAGGAAAGCACAGAGCTCTTCCGTCAGTGTGGTTTATTTCTGTTCACAGGACTTCTGAAGACATGAAGCCAAGGCTGACCTCTTTAGTCAAGAGTCAGCTCAACTTTAAAATTATGATTGCATGTGAAAGCTAAAATGGGAAAGATGAAAAATCAGTTCTCAGGACAGAAATGCTAAAAACCCTTGGGCCACATTCCAGTCAGGGTCCTGGCCCTGCACACAAAGCTCCCATTGGGGGTGGGTGGGAGGGAGACGAGCCAAGACCAGTTCAAGCCAGTTGAGTGTCAGGGGATCATGGGGTTTATTCCAGAGGTGTCCAGTTTACAGATAAAGAAACTTACCTTTATGATTATGCTACATAATCCCTAAGAAACAGTAGCTCAGGTCCAGGTCTTATTATTTAGTTGTTTGCCAAAGCATTTACCCACTCACAATTAACTCTTTATAGTACTTCAATAAATCAGAAAGCATGTAAAACAAAAACAAAATGCTGAACTAGGCATAAGATCTAGTTGTCCCACCTGATAGCCCCCGTTGGGTACTCTAGACAAGGCCCTCGCCCTCCCTAAGCCTCAATTTCTGCTTTCCAGGAGAAGGCGGTGTCCACCCTGCTTACCTCAGAGATGCTTTGACAATGAAATGAAATTGTGCAAATGAAAGTAATTTACATACTGAAAGCTTTGCTCCAAGTACAAGGGATTATTAGGAATTCATTCCAGATTGTGTTGACTTTTCCTCAACTTCAAAACTACTTAATGAGGAAGTAATGGAATGAGGAACAGCATACCTTACAGGGAAGAGAATTTAAACCACATACCTCCCCTTGATCCATGGTTTGAGATAAAAGTACACTAGCAATCTGCAGATTCTTGTCCACTGGGATTTTTACTCACACCAAAACAAAACAAAAGGGTGGGATTCAGTTGAAAGTAACAAGTAAAGAACAACTTATAAGGAAACTAAGAGGGCTGATGTTCTCATCTGGGGCATCAGCAGACATCTCCAGTTTCAGGCATTCTCTTTCCCTCTGTGTCTGTGTGGTCCATAGTATTATATGCTCCCATGTCACTGTTCTGATAATGGCTTTGGATTTATTTTGTCCAATGACTTCCTGGGTATTGGGACACAGACCACCCAAACTTAGAAACTTAGCTAGAGAAGCCATTTTCTTGACTAACTTATTTCCATATCTATTACACAAAACCAGAACCATTGGGTAGCTGGGAAAAAAATTAAAATCTCAAGTTTTTTTTTTTTTTTTAAAGATCTTTTTTCAGAGACCCAAAGCACTAGCAGTGATGGGAAAACTTTCTCAGGCCACCAGACTGAATCAAGGGCATTTGGAAGGTACATAAAGAGGGACACATGTATTGGAAATGCGAGGAGTCGTCGTCATTGGGATAACAGCTTGAGAACTCTAGTTATGTCCAAAGCATAATGTGACCCACTTGATTGTTACTGATGACCACAGTAGTGATAAATTCCAATGACCTTGGACTCTAGGGGTTTGCTGACCTAGGAGAAATCCCAGAGGGGAAAATTAGCTCCAGCAAAAAAAGAAACAAAGAGGTTCTCAGAAAGCGGTTCTCAATCTGCCTTGCAAACTGGATCTTCTATTTCTCACTGCTGGGTATGTACTCTTCCCTGAGACAATCATATACCTTTAGGAATATTGCCAAATCATACACCAATTAATAAACAAAACTTTATTTTCCTTTGATACAAAAATTAAATAGCAAAGTTTATTTTTTTATACAGTGATAAATTAGAAATTTACAGTACAGACATCAATGCAGACATACTTTTGTACATCCTTAAAAGCAGGGTCCATTTCCTTTGAAGTTCAGCAATTAATTCAGGGCACGTGTAGCAGGAGTTTGCGTGGTACCTCTACGTTGAACATCTGAAAGTTCCCCAGGCCGGAGTCAAGGTGGCTGGAGCTGTGGGGTGGCACAAAGATACAAGGCCACGGAAAAACTAAATGGCTACTGCACAGAGCAGGTTTTCACAGATGGCACCTGATATTTATTCTACCTTCCTTACAAAGAGCTCAAGGGGCCTTGATCCTTAGACCTTCTGAAGCCTCACAACATCCCTGTGAGGTAGGAAAAACAATCCAGAGCCACCTACATGCCCCACTGGGAGAGACATAGAAAGCAGATTACTTCCCCCAAAAGCCTACAGCTAAGTCAGGGCCAGAGCCTGTGAAAAGGATTCAGACACTTTCACAACCTGGGACAGAGGTGGACCCAGCTTTCACAGGGTAAGGTTGCTCTTGCCCCTATTCTCAGAAGCCTTCTGAGATGACAGTGGTCATGTACTGAATAATGTAGGAGATCAAGGAGGTACAAAAACTTTGAGGACATGGCTCATATAGGACCCCAGGAGGGATCTCTACAAATTGCCTGGGTGAATACTGGGAATTTGCTGATTCCAAGGCACGTATGCATGGCAAGAGGCAGCAACAGAGAGCTCTAACCAGGCTGCAGCGAAACAAAATCCTTTAAGGCTCTGCTGTCTGATCCTTGATAGGAGCAAAATGCCCTCCTAGGAGTTTCCACACTCTGCAACCTAGCCTAAGGAAAAAATGATAACACAGGTCCTATGCCAGACATAATACAGACCCAGACTGGGACTGTGACCTCCAATACAATAAAAGAACAAAAAGAATTGTCAGAGACCTATGACTCGGCATAACTTGACTAGCAACTCTCTCTAATGCCCTCCACCAAAGGACCAAATTCAGCATATGGAGTAATCCTAAGGGGCTTCTTCTAAAGTCTGTGTCCTTTGTGGTTTGTGTTCTAACTGTGCTGGGGCTACCTCACCATAAACCAAAGATTGCACCTTCCTAGTGAAATCCTTTTCCATCTGCTGCTCTGGGCTAAGGCTGTCAAGTTCATCTTTGTGTCCTCAGGTCCCAGCTGGGTCACAAAACTACAAGTACTTAAATCCAGTGGCCAAGAGGCTGAGAGGGCCAGAGAGTAGAAAGCTGGGAGGGCTGGGCAGCATCATAACTCAAAACCTACAGACAGAAATGTCCCACATTCTGGGGTGAGGGAGTATGGGGAGAGAGTGACCCAGGAAAGGAAAGTCAAAGAATATTTCAGGGAAACAAAATGTGTCACTTTTCTGGTTTAAGGCCCCTGAGCAAGCTGCCGACACAAGCAGTCTCAGAGATCAGGAAATGGGTCTCCCTAAAGGAAAAACATGTAAGTATCAACCAAGCAGCTCAATCAGATGGTTTTGGCCACTTCCACTCTAACCCATGCTCCTCTTCCCTGAGGTTTGGCCTTTATGAAGCAGGCAAAGGAGTCTGCCAGAGAGGAGGCCGGACAGGTGACCTTGGCCTGGCTTAACAAAAATCTCTGGTGGCCAGGGGATTTTTTGTAGGAAGTTATAATCATATCTACTTGCTCTAGATTTTAGAGCCAGAAAAACCACCTTAACCTTTTCCTTGGCAAGATGCTGTCCTCAAGTTTACATACATAAGTCACACAGAGCACACCAAGCTGTGAATCGTCTGTCCCAAAGGTCATATTAGATGTGGGAACCTATGTCCTCATAGCCTATTTTCATAGTCTTTCTTAAGGCTTTCAAAGAAATTGTCATGAAGCAGAGTTGATGCTTTTCATCAAAACCCCTGTCATTGATTTGGAAAAAATCTTGACATGGCATGAGTTACAGGTAGAAGGCCTGGGGAAGAAGAGATTTAAGGGATGGAGACAGTGAAGCAGATGGAAATTGCAGAGGCAAATTCTTCACAAAACCAACAGTAAAGTTCAGCTGATCCAGGAGCATCACCAGCCTAAGTCACTTAGAATACAGCTGTCACCACTGAACTGAAATGCTTATCCTTTATAACATGCTCTAAGGTGCCTAATACAGGGTTTTACACATAGTTGGGCTGGTAAATCATTGTTTTTTGTTTTTTAAAGATACCAATTTAAGAGGAGATGGAGTCACTTTGAGGTAATTGTTAACTGACTCCTTAGCCACAAAGTTCCTTTCCTGAAACTGCAAATATTCTCCACTGTCTGGAATGTGAAAGGCCTACCACCCTGTGCCATTGCTAAGGATACTAATCCAGTCTGCACCAACAGGCCACTTCTGATCAAATATATCAAATATACTTTCCCCTGAGAAGGCAAGAGATTTGGGGAATAGGCATATTAAAACGCAGAAATTCTCAGGGTACTAGCCCCAGAACTCACATACCCAGGTTCATCTGAGGGCTTTTATTATTTTTATCATTTAATTATTCAAAAATATCGAGCACCTACTCCATGCTTGAGCCTCTGCAAGCTGCTACTTTGGTCATAAAATCACTGACATTACAAGGAAAACTGCCTTACAAAACCGATACTCTAACACCAAGACCAGTCCCTGACTGCATGATCCTTCACTTCCTAGGCCAGAGTCTCTGCCCAACTCCCAAGACACTAGAGCAGAGCGTGAGTAAGGGCAGGTTCTGTCCCTGGATGCATGCTCCGGGGCCCTGGGCAGTTATGGGAACTATCTGCAAGCAGCACGGGAGTTCACATTTTACATTTCATAGGCATTGTGGTCTCTGATGGAGTTACTCTGGCCCTTCCGGGGACCAATTCTCATGCTCTGGGAGCCCTGACCCAGAGTCCAGTCAAGGCACTCAGGCTTGGCAGACAGTAACACAGGCCATCCATGCCCACTTAGCTTCTGCCTCAATTGAAAGCCCTAAGACTTTCCCTTCTAAAACACAGCAGACTTTAGATGCATCTTCATCTCAGACAGCTCAGCAACCAAGGAAAAAAAAGGAAATAAGGGGAGGAAATGGCAAACCATGGGCATAAAACCCCTCCCCTATAGGCCCCCCACAAAAAGGCATGCTTATTTCCAGAATTTGACCACCTTTTTTGGAATTTTGAGTCCCTGGAAATGTTTTTCCACAAAGAACAATAAAAGAGAGCTTTCCTACCTGCTTAAAAAAAAAAAAAAAAAAGGCATGAATAAATAAATAAATGAGTCACTGCAAAGCAGGAACTGAAGCAAAGACAGGTATAAGTTACACAGAGCAACCTGTGACATTGTCAACAACTTGCCCCAGAGATCTGGAGATTAGAAGGCCTAAGGTGGGTTAATAGAGAGGCCAGTTACAATTTTAAAAGCACAGCAACTTTGAGAGGCTGCTAGGGGGGTACCCCCTTGTGAGAAACGTAAAGCATAAATTTGAAAGGCTTTGGATACCTCCACAAAAGGCAATTAAGACCAGTGCTGTTAGAGTTTGCAGTTCATTTCACAGGGTCTACACTTTATTCCCTGCTAACCAATCAAGCTCCTGGCTGGCATTCTGGAGATTCATTAAGCACCATATAAATACTCCAGGCCACACTGCCTCCAAGGAAATCTTATAAGGAGCCTTTGCCAATTACAAGGAAACAATTATGCACCAAGTAGTTGGATTAGCAGTCCTTAGTTCCCTTCACAAAATTGAAAAAGTCTCCATTGTTGTTAAGTGGACCAGACTTTGATAACATTCTTATGCTAAAGGAAAAAGGCACTATCTTTCTGAGAATGCAAGTTGACCATAGTTTTAAAGTCAGTGAGTATACTATGTCATGGTCCAAGAATGTGCTTTTAATTGTAATTGACACACACAAATTACACAGTTAATCTGTGCACATGTAAAGTTGCCAAGAAATTTAACATTTCAGCTCTTCCAGACTGGCGTCTGCACAGATGCAATCACACAAAGTAAAACATATTAAGTCCCAGTTGCTCAATGCCATAGGTCTCTGGGGTCGGTAAGGTAAGTCGACTTGGTCAATCTCATTTTCCTCTGAATTAAGTGATTGTCACGACATGAATCGCCCTTCATTTTCCCCCTCATTAGGCATGCTGCAATGCAAAAATTCCTATAAAAATACCTTTTTTGAGTTATGAATGCAAAATGAAGAAAACAGCAGCAGCCTAGCACAGAGATACTGAAATTAAAGAGAGAAGGCAAATCCACCGGATACCTTAGGTGTGTTTGTACAATACTTTTGTTTGTTCAAACAATTCTGTTTTATGACAAAGGCACTAAAAGATTCTGACACCACCTCTGGGGAGTGCAATCCACACAGTTCTAAAGAGCAGACACTGCACCACAAAAGATGTTTATGTTAGACCAGCCAAACCAAAAACTCATGTAATACTTCTCTGAACCAGCGTTTCCAGTGTTTATAGATTGCGTTGTTATTTGAAAGAGGCTGTTAGTATTTCAATTTTAAAAGGGTTAAAAAGTTACTTTTTCTCTCTGCAAATTAAATTACCCACTCACGGCTTAAACCCCACCCTGCAAGGAAAAGCAGCATCGCCCTGGACTGCCTAACCTAGGCAGGACCTCCACACTTCAACCTGTGACCTGCTAAAGTGATCAACAGTTTGATTTTTTCACAGCTTTGAAAGCCTCTCACTGGCTTTTCCATTTTGGATTATTCCAAAGTCTGCAGCAAAATCATTGGTTTTAGGATGATGGGGCGGTTGGGGGGGGGGCCTTGCTTAAGTGTTGTTTGTTCAAACTGAGATTTATTACATACAATTTTTAGCAGCATTTCCTATGAAATGCTAATATACCCCAATCAAAATGAGGACCATGTAGAGTCTGGCTATTCTTATACCACAGTTTCATTGCCTTTCCCAGGCTTTACCCAACCATTCCCTCTCTTCTCTCGCTTTACCTTCCCAGAGTTCACCAATCTGTTGGAACACTTCTGCCATGTGTGAAAAGTTTTGGCAGACCAAATCCACATTCCTGAAGTGATGCCCACCAGCAAAGACATAAAAATTTTTAACATTTCGACCGCCATATTGGAGTCATCTGCAGAATACCGGAAGAGTGCCCAGTTGGAGATTTCATAGAAATAACAGGCAATCACACAGGTTGCAGGGACTGTGTATAATACTGAGAAGACACCAATTTTGACCATCAGCCTTTCCAACTTGTCTGTCTTTGTCCCATCCTTTTGAAGATTCGACCGAATTTTGAACAAGGCCACCAAACCTGCGGCAATGAATAAGGTTCCAATGACCAAGTAAGTGAAGAGAGGAGCCACCACAAAGCCAGTGAGGGCATCAAGGTTTTGGTTCCCAACATAGCACAAACCAGTCAGTTCATCTGCATCCACCAGTCTCATAATCAAGATGACAATGGTTTTTACTGCAGGGATGGCCCAGGCAGCAATGTGGAAGTAAGAGCTGTGCATTTCAATGGCTTCATGACCCCATTTGAGTCCTGCTGCCAAAAACCAAGTGAGTGTCAGAATAACCCACCAGATGGAGCTAGCCATTCCAAAAAAGTACATCAGCAAGAAAATTATTGCACATCCTGTGTTCTTAAGTCCTTCTTGGATGAGAACGGGTTCTGCTGCCTCTTCAAAATCGCAGGATATCCTTTCCCTGCCTACAGTCAGCCTCACAATATAAGCAATGCTATAAATATTATAGCACATACTGAGAAATATGATGGGGCGCTCAGGATAGGAAAACCTGGAGGAATCGATGAGGAAGGTCAGGACCGTGAAGGCAGTGGAGATGAAGCACAGGCTAGCCCACACAGCCATCCAGATATCAGTGAACTCCTTGGCTGAGCGGCTGTATAAGCCGGCATCGTAGCCACACTTGAGAACACAGTTCAGGCTCCTTTTCACCCAGATGTACTGATCAGAATTGGTTCCTACAGAGTGACATTCTTCCCCAGGCTGGATGGGGGTTTTGTGAGGTAAGGGCACCTCTTCGTCACCTGGCCCTTCCATGCACATGTGATTGTGGTCATTCTGTGGTGGGAATTTGCTGCAGTTCAGGCTCTCTGGCCAGGCGAATCCAAATTCCTTCAGGACCGGTTCACAGCGTCTCTTGACTGAAAGACACATGCCGCCACACGGGCCAATGGGGATGTTGATCTTCTCTGTGCACATTGGCACATAAACCGAACAAAGGAAGAACTGGAAAAGTAATGAAATGAACAAAGAAAACAATGACTTGGAAGTTTGACCAAAGGCTTGCACAAAGCTGAGTTGAATGTTTCCAAACAATGTACATATCTATTTTAAATCAGCCTACATGGAGTACGATTGTTTAACCTCAAACAAGTGTGCTTAATAACCTATCATTTACACACTTTTCTTAGATTGATTCTAGTAATCCTTTCTAGGGGAACAAAAATAAGTAAATGAATAAATAAAGGGGTTGAAGAAGAATTACATAATCTCTTTCCTCACAACACTTAAATAAATCTTAAAAAACTGGCTTTCAACCCCTCTTCCCTTTCAGCTATTATTGGAAAGAGCTGAACTGACTAATCAAATGACAGTCATTTTGGTCATGGAGTGGTTTATATTCATCTCCATAAAAATAAATATTAGAAAATGTAGATTGAGTATTTCTCCTGCTAATATTCTCTGTCTTCTACCTTATCCCTTAATTATTATTTTTTAAAATCAGTTCCATATTGGAATAGAGAATGTCCTAAGTGGGACATTGACTTAGAGATGTGAGGCCCTATGAGGCTGACTGAAGTCTCTGGTCACCAGGGGTTTGTTTGGCCAGGTTTCCTCAATGAATAATAATGAAGCACAATAGGAAAATGTAAATGTTAAGTCCCTGCAAACTGTAATACCAGCAGGGGAGACTCCAGTTGCTGTCCTCAATTCCTGCAGCATTGATAAACAGTCTGCTTGGCTCCTTACAGATGTTGTCTATGAAGTCTAGAATTACAAGTAACTATTTTCCAGCATGTAAAGGGATCCAATCCTGTCCTTCAAAACAGCTTGGCTGCTTCCCCAGGATACGTGTAATTAAAAATATATATCCCTGCAAAAGCTGTTTCTCCAACAAAATTGCCACTGATGTCAGGATATGTGCTGTTTCCAAACTGAGAACTGAAGGATCATTTCTTAGGCTTTTATAACTTACTTCCAAAGGGACATTTCACCAGCAACAGGTCTAATCCCAAACATCTTTTTGAAACCGCAATCCAACTTTTAAAGTGATGTATGTAAAAACATGTACCCAGTAAGTAAGCCACATGTCTGTTTCTTATCTTTCAGAAGTTACAGCCAGAACCACAGATTTCTGAAGCTTTTAGCCTGGACAACTAGACTCTATTTTCCCCCCAATTTCTCCCTTTTCTAATTTCTAAAAATCACTGAGTCTCAACCAAAACACAACCAGTGCTACTAACACTTCTTAAAATTTCCTTTCAGTCTTTTGAAAAATAAATTGGTTATTTTTGCAAGATATTATCATCTTGTGTATGCAAATTCTCCACTTACTTGTAAGATCACCATTTTCTATACTATTACACAAGCTTTAAATATTTTAACTACTGTATATTAAAAAAAAAAAAAAAGAAAAAACTTCCAATATACAAATTACCCTCCTGGACTTCGACTACACCATCACGTTTTCCCCTAAGATGTATTTTCTCTCCCTCCAAGTACTCAACCTGCCTTCAACCCTGAGGATGAGAAAGGGCTAAAGTTAACCATTCCTTCCTGCGTGACCTCTAAAATCCTACAGGATCACGCGAGGAGGGGCCATTAGCAGTGGTGTTTCCTGTAACAATCCACCAAAAAATATGGGGGAGAATAGGGGTTCGAGAGGGACAGGACAGGGAAGGGAGGAGAAGTTCACATCTCCTTATCTCTCCTTCCAAGTCTTAGCTGCAGCTGGCTGCCCTGCCGGGGACTCGCCCACCCAGCAGCGGCGGTCGGTCGGAATCCTTGGCAAAGATAACCCTCAACTCCACTGGGGTTAGGGGCTTGGCTAGACTTGGTGGGCAGGGGAGAAAAACGGAAGGGCGGGGTGTAAAAGTGGGTTCTTTCACAGGCCAGATGACTTACACAACGTTTTGGCTTCCAGTCCCTGAGAAGGGACAGAAAAGTGGGGGTGGGGTGGGGGTGGAAATTCCTTTTCCAGGAGTTTCACCTTTCAGGCTAGGAAGGGGGCAAGGGGCTCTATTTGGCTCGGATTCTGCTAAGTTAGTTTGAGGCGCCCCTGTACTGGAGGTCTCGTCAGGGGTAGGGGCTGGGGGGGGGCGCCCACCTGCAGCTGGCTGGAGCAGCCGTACTGGATGAGTGGCGTGAAGGTTGTCAGCTGCAACTCGGCGTCGGTCTGCAGCTCGTGCCCCACCAGGTTAGGCATCTTGGTCACGTTGTAACCGAGGTTCTGGCACATGGTGATGCGGATGGGGTCGCAGCGCCGCTCCTCCTCGTCCCCAAAGCCCCGCACCGGCCCCAAGAACAGCAGCAGCGGCAGCAGCAGCAGCAGCAACCGCAAACTGAGCCCGACCACCACGGGCTCCCCCGGGACTCTTGGCCCCGCGCCCCGCCGGACCATGGCCAAAGCCGGGGGCGGCAGCGGCGGTGGCTGCTCCAGCAGACACCCCCAGTTTGCACGGGTGCGCCGGCTGCCCGCGCTGCTCCCAGTTCTGTGGAAAGGAGTGATAAGGCGCCAAGGACGACGAACGGACAGCGGCCGGCTCCTCTGCAGCTGCAGACGACTGTGCAAGGAATTAAATGCCCCGGGCCAGAGCCGAGGGACAGGCTACAAGGGTCATGGCTGCAGGCAGCTAGTCTCCAGCCCGGAGCCCTCCGTGTCCGCTCGGCCCCACTCAGCGTCCCCACGAGGCCCGCCTGCACCCAGCGCCGCCCAGCGCCGCGCCGCTCTTACTGCCAGAACCCCTCCGCAGCGCTGGAGGTTCGCTGGGAGGTGGCAGGGAGGGACAGACAGCACGCCTCTCCAATGACTGGACGCCGTGGGCGGCGACAGGCGGGGCTGCGAGGCGGGGCTGCTCTCCTGCTGGAAGGGTCAGCCCCCCGCCTGCCGCCCGCCCTCCCCATCTCTCTCTCTGTCTCTCTCTCTCTCTCTCTCTCTCGTTCTCTCTCTCTCTCTCTCTGTGTGTGTGTCTCTCCCTCCCTTCCTCCCTCCCCCGAGCTTCCAGACCCGCTTCCCGGCGCTCACTTTCCTCCCACCTCGTGAGCCTCGAGCTGGGGCCAGGCGGGGATGGAGCTGTGTTGCTCCCGCCTGGCCAACACGCCTCCTCCTCTCCCAGGTGAGAAATACTTCCCAGTCATTATTTCCCTTTCTCTTCCTTTTGCTTCCAGCTGTCACCTCGACCTGCGGCCACCTCCATCAGGCTGAGAAATATACACAAAGAACATGAGATTGTGGCTTCAAATTCCGACTATGTGACCTTGAGCAAATTGCCCAATCTCTCGGCGTCAGTTTTCTCATCGATAAATTGACTTGGGAGGATTAGAGTTAAGGCGTAAAAAGCTTAGCACCGTGCCTGGTACAGCCAGAGCTCCAAGCTATTTTCACTCGTAACTAGCTTTGGTCAGAGCCCGGCCCCTCTCCCTGCCTCCAGACATTGCCCGACCTGCGCCCGGGAGCTGCTACCCTTGGGCCGGGAGTGGAGGAGGCGCCCCGGACCAGCCGAAGGTCTCGCGCTCCCGTTTCCTTCACTGTATGAAATGAAATTCCACAGGGGGATTCGAAAGGAAATGAGACCGGGACGCTCCGTGCTTCTCGGCCCGCCGCCCTTCCTGTCTCGGGGACACGTTTCTAAATAAGGTTGGGAGGGCGTGAGGGTGGGAGGGGAGAGGTTTGACCTGTTCACTGAGGGCGAGAAAGGAGCACAGAGCTTCCCTCCTCCAGCCTCCCGGACACCTTTTTCCTGCAGGCTAACGCCCCCCTCCCCTTCTTCCTTATTCTGCTGCTCAGAGTCCTGGGGATCTGGGAATCACGCGACCCGGGTTGCGATCCAATTTTCCCCTATCTCATTACCAGTCCCCCCGGGGCTTTGTGCTGGTCCACCCTCTCTACTTTCCAGTTGGGCCAGTGGAATCCTCAGCAGGTGGAATTTCCTAAATCTTTTACTTGTTACTTCACTCTGGTCAGGCTACTGTGCCTCTTTGAGCCTCAGACCGTCTATAAAACAAGGAAGTTAATATCCACCTCACACGTTTATTTTGAGACACATGAGGTAATGCCTATAGATCATTTAGTACAGTGTCTGGCACATAGTATGGGCTGACTAACTTAGTAGTGGTGGTTGTTTCTGCACAACTATGGGACAATCTCCTGCTTTCCAGCCTGGCATCAAAATGCTTTTATGGCAGCTCAGGCCTGAGGGTCTGTGTACCAGGTTTCCTGTGCTCTTCCTGAGATCCTTTTCTGCATCACTTACCACCATTTTCCTGGTGCTGAGTGACAGGAATCAAGTCTTTATGCACTTTTGTATCCTTCCATTTCAGCCAAGCCTCTGGAACATACAAGGGCTCAATACAAATTGTTTTTGTTGTTGTTTGCGGTCAAGTC